ACATTATATAATATGTGTTTTGGAAAATGGCAACTCAGGAAATGATCCCATGTTGGACCCGGAAAGTACATTTTCTGAAGAACCGGAGCGAGCACAAATGCTTTTATAAGATGCTTTAGCTTTGTGATATATCTCCTTGGCGTCCAAAAAATACATTTTCTGGATGACAGCATTTGAAAAGCACTAGATTGAGAAGTAGTTATTATTACAAGCTCAACAGATGTATACGTGCAGTTCCACCAGGTTTTTGCTAATCGTTGTAATTTAGCATTAAAATAATAATTTGCATTTTTGGTACAATTTGGAAAATACTTGTATTGTTTAATAAAGACAGTTGAGAAACACAGTATGAAAAAAATACCTATATACTTTTCTAAGTGTCTCAAGTAATACACTTTAGATTAAAGTTGATTAATTTGTTCTGTTTTTCACATTTCYTAGCATCTCAAATTCATGTAAAAAAGAATTGCATTATTTTTTTCTTACTTTCTACCGATCTAAGTACAATGACTTTGTGAGAGTGATGCTGCAAGCTTGAACACTTAACCCTTCAAAGTTTCTCCAAGTTTTGTAGCTGGGAATGTCTAAATTGTATAACGCAGGGTGGGGAAGGTGATCACATATCATCTTCAGATCTCTACAGATATGCTCTAATGGGTTCAGGATCACTCTTGGACTTCGACTGATATTCCTCAAAGCCTCTAATGTATTTTGGTTGTGCAATAGCTTGATAGCTTGTTGTAATGTAAACGTTTGCTCCAGCCTGAGAACCTAAGTGCTGTGAAAAWTTGGGAGCTTTTCAATTCATTATATTTTTCTGTATCTGTCCTGTAATTTTTTTTCCCTAAATGGCTACAAATTCATTGCCACAGATAAATATTTTAGCAGTAATGACAATTTGCAGAATWGTTTTTGTGCTTTTGGAATGGTGCAACACATTTCTTGAAATTCCCTCCCTTGTTTTTAAATCAATCGACACCAACTCCAAAACTTAAGCTGTGCTATTTGTTCGCCAAAAAGCAAGCAGTTGTTTCAAAAGTAAATGATCTTTGCTGCAGTTATTGTCTTCCACATACATTCAAATAAAACACCATGTTTCAGGCAGAGAAAGAAAATCTTGCAATTGCGACACCGTTTAAAACATTAAAAAAGTAATAAGGGATGYGTCAACTGTTCATTCTCTTTTTATTAGTATTCCGGTTTCTGTATCATTTCCCTTGGGCCAAGTCAAACAACTGGGTATCATTTGTATCACAGACAATCCATCTCACTAAAAAATAAGAAACATGTCAAAACTAGTTCAGATTAGATTACACTACTGTTGTGCACTGGGAAAAAATGCTAGAAGTTTTAAGAATACATGTCACTGTACTTAAAAAAACAAACAAAAAAGAAAATAAGTGGATGTTCAGCAAGTTGCATTTTGAATTCAACATCATTTAAAACGGTCATACAGTATTAGGTTTTTGAAATACAGAATGTTCTGTAAAAAAGTATTTTTAAACAATACTGGTTTATTTCATGAATTTAGAAGCCTAGATTATGGTAGATTATGGAAAATCTGCATTCTTTGAAGTTTAATATAAATGAAATGAGTGATGATTCAAGGATTTAACAAAGTAATGTAATTAGCCAAAAAAAAAACAAACAAACAAAACTAAAAACAAAACAAAACATGTAAATATGTAAACAAAAACAAACCCTCATTTTTATGTGTTTGTCTTTTTGTGGAAGATAATATCAGGCTGTGAGTCAGTGTGACTGGTTTTTGTTAGTCATTGTGGAAGAAAGGAAGTTATTAAATCCATCTTCATATTAACTGAAAGCTGGCAGGACAAACAGTCACACGGCTCTTGTCTTGTTTTTGTCAGAGTTTTTGACTGAATTGTTATCTAAGACTTTTAGCACTAATATTTATTTGTTTATTTTTGTTTCATTTTGAATTGATTTATAGGTATGGCTTGAAACTTTTTTCCTGCCAATGGTTTTGCGAGCATCTCTTGGAGACCCGAGCACTCACGCAGTGTGTGGTTGTGCTCCTTCTTTCTCAGCATGAGATTAAAATGATAACAATTACCCAGCCAACACGAGTCTGTAAATGATTCTTCTGCTGGATCTGTTTCTTAAAC